AAAAAAAACATTTTTCGGGTTAGGTGCACTTAAAAGGCTATAGACTGATAGCCCAAAGCTTATGTTTGAATCTTTTCAACCAGAGAACGTTTTTCACTACGTTTTAAAAATGTAAATTTTGTACGGCGGAGGATTTCTTGAGTGGTGTAGAGTCCAAATAACTGTAACAAAAATGACCATTGTCTGCCTATCGAGCTACCCTAACGTGTCCAAACTATGAAGCAGACGGAGATTAACCCTCTATTACTAGGGGTTATAGGGGAGAAATCGACACATGGGCGTATGGATGTTGTTGATCGGTAGCCCATAGGATAATCGCCATAGAATTCCCATGGCCAAAAAAGGAAAAAAAAAAAAAAAAGAAAACATTGCTCAAACGTTTGAAGATACTTTTCATTTAAAATTCCTTAAGGTAAAAGGGTTCACTTTAAAAGAAAAATAATAATAATACGGTAATCGTTAATCAAACCTAAACTACGTGTACGACTGTCGCTGGCTTGGGAATGTAAATTTGACGCTCATCAGACCAAATGGACTCAAAACCCGGAGCAAATCTTATCAGTGGTATTACTGTAGTTCCAGATCTCAAGCGATCTAGCAAACATACTGCTGTCAATTTCTGGCAAAGGCTACATATACTAACAGAACAGTGACTTTAAGCAGGGACACAAGTTGCATATGTTAGCTCTACACAAGTAATATTGTAAAACGTACGCCAATAACGGTCAATAATTAAATTATTACAATTTAATTACAACAAAAATACATTCCTACCACTTCCAGTAGTGTGGTCGTAATCCGGTCCTGTTGGAGAGGACGGAGTACTTCCCCGATTTCGCGTCCAATCAAAAGTGTCATTTGTATCCTGAACAAAGCCGCACATTGATTGGTCGAAAGTACAACGAAAGACTAAAAAGTTGGGATAGAAAATGTTTTACTACGACCGTAAACAATGTTTTGCTCAAGGGGAGGGAGAAGGGGAAGGGGGAAGGGATAAATTACAATAATAAATAAATTATATTTAGAAAAGAAGCCGCCACAACAGTCTTAGCGGGCTTTCATGCGGGTCCTCTATCCTGGTCGAATTGGAGAAAAATTGGTTTGGAGAAAAACTGCAGAACCCGGAAAAAAACACTCGGAGCAAGGCGAGAAAGAACGAAAAAACTTAACCCACATATGACAGCGGACCGGAATCGGTCCCGGGTCACATTGGTGGGAGGGGGATCGCTCTCAGCAGTGCGCCATCTCTGCTTTCCAGACTTAATACCTACCTTGCAATTGTGGGCTTGTGGGTAGCGAGGTGGTTGCTGGAGTCGATGGACTTACTACCAAAAGATAGAAAAGTGATCCAGAAATTAAGAACAACAGTTCATTATTTGCATGACACAATGCAAGTCGAAAGTTAATAGCAACCCTAAAATATAATTGGAATTGGTTCTACGTACAAATAATGTGAAAAGGCTCACCTAGAAAATGAATAAATAAATGATTAAAGAAATGAAATAATAAGTAGAAATTTAGTAAACTTACTGAAATACTAAGACACTCGACGTGAAAATGAAATGAATTGATAACTTTAAATTAATTAGGTTAAAAATCTACTCATTACTAACACGTTCTAACTTTATTCAAATCAAAATGCCTTTCTATTTTTGCCAGAGATTCTCTCTTTTAGAATTCTATACTCTATTTAACTGTAGAAGCACTGTCAACAGGAAATAAATTTCTCCTCCGATTGAATAATTGAACTTTTTTTACGATCAGGTTTTGTTCATAACGCGTGTTGTTTTTTGGTATGAACTCACTTGTGGGACAACTCCCTGGAGCCAGCCGGAAATCGTCTATTGCGATGTCACCGCGGAAACTGCTTCCCCGTATCCCTTCAAATACAACCTAAAATCATTATAAAAGATACAAGTCAGGGAGTAACAACAAAGACTAGAAACCAGAAACTCGGACGTACAATAGGGGAGGAGGGAGTTGGATGCCACCCTCCCTTAAGGTCTTTTCAAAGTTTTGAAAAGGCGATCTACTCTAACGGGCTAAAACTTACAGTAGCTATTCATTCATCTTCCACGGAAATTTTGATATGTCAATTGTGTGTCTGTCATCTTTGATGTTGCCATGGCAACCGCCAATTTCATGTAGATTTAGCCAAAAATCAACTTTTTCCACATAATTCTGAAGTTTTTTTCCAGTTTTTTTTTATCAAATTGCAGAAATTCACGAATTTGTACATTTCACAAGCATTCTGGCTTTATTTTGCATTAATTTCCATTACTTGTTGACTTTTTAAGAAAATAGTATATCTAAGATGGGGAATCCAAGATGGCGGATCAAAAAACGTTATTTGGCGTCATATGACGTCATTACCAACAAAAATGGTATCAACCTGTAGAGCTAGCTCAGGGCTATCTAATCAATGTAAATTTATTTCGCTGTGCCTTAA